AGAATCTATAAATTACTTCAGTCGTGCTGATTTCATTTTCAATGATTTACTAAGCAATTTGGACAGCTTTTTAGATAACGAATCTAAATGCTTTTTGCTTAGAATGTATTTCAATGTACGTTTATAAGCTTTCGGAACGCATTGAGAATGTAAAATTTTCGTTCAGGTTGGATTTGAGAAGGTGGCATATCTGCTTTAGAGCAGATGCGCAAACGACGCATTTGCGAGATAGGCAAAGGGTCGCATTAGATATCATGCAGGTAGACAAGCTAGATTGAACTTTGGCACTCTTCATTGACTTTAGCTGATTCTTTTCAGCATGTTGTATGAAGTCAAGAGAGAAGAAAATGATATTTCACGCGATGACGTGAACGTGGCGAACTCCTCCTATGGTATGTGTTATGGTACTTTCCCTTGCCTCATTCAGTCGATATTTCGAGCCATTGTTTTCAAAAATCTACATTTCCACTGCAGCCGCCGCATACGAACCCCAAATTTTAATGCATTCGAGCTCTGGATCAGATACAAGAAGTGCAGAACCTAACATCTCGTCACTAGTCGATCCAGAAGGTACAATATTTTCCAATCTCCCTTCCTGATACAGTGTGAAATTACAATTCGCTTCCTATTTCCTTATCATATATTTTCTGTTAGCACTCTGCCTCTTTATTCAGAAGAACCACTCCCGAACTGCTATTTTCTTGATCCTGATAAAGTAATCAAGCTTCTCTCGTATGGATCCCATGATCTGAAACATTTAAAGCCATCAGATGTCAATGTGAGTGTAAGCTGATTAAGATTAAATGCGAATCATATCCAAAGAAACATGTCTTCATCAGCGTCTATTGCGAAGAATCAGCAAAGGGCACAAAGTTCTGGTATCAGGTTCTTGGTTGACGCGTGCATTCCGGTCGAATCTCGATTTCAACCAGCAAGATGAAGTTTATAGAAAATTTCTGCTCGTTCGGGATGGACTAGTGAGTTACAAAGCTCTTTTCGCTTGCTATCATCGCCTTTCTATTTTGGAATTTGGTCTTTTAATTTTTCTGTCAATTATTCTCTATAATTTCAGCGTAGACCATCGCGAAAATTTTTTTTAGATTTTCAATATAAATAAATGCAATTTTCGCAACTTCAACATTTCCTCATTCAGAGAGAACTGGATGACTGTGACAGAGGTTGGAGCAAGGAGGCCAATGCGGAAAATTCGAAGAAATCAAAGTCGGAATTGCGTATTTTTATAGTTGCTTTTCACAATATTTTTCGCCTAGGACCTTTGTAACAAGAAGGTCGCACGAAATGTCAAGCTTCCAAGAAGAACCATCTGACTTGAACGCTGATGAATCTGAAAGATCTTCCTCTCGGGTACATGATGAGGTAATTTTTTCGCTGTAATGGATTAAAACTTTCCCTACTTGACTTTTTCATGTTTTTTTTTATTAGTTGAACACAAGATGTCCCAACAAGTTTGTTTTCGTATATTAACGCTTATCCACACAAAATCGTGTTTGAAGTTGTAGGTTGATGCTATTAAGGAGTATAACCCTGTATCGCCGCGCTACTCCTTGCGACTATCGAGTGTGAATCGCCGATATTGGCAGCTGCATTTTTGATACGTAATTGGTAGACAGGCATATCATGCGTAGTGTGCCGA